CAAGACTGAGAGAGTCTCTGCCATTTGCAACATGTGGCTTCCAAGCTTGCCCTGTGCATTGACATCCAGAGTAAGGAAACGTGGGAGATAGTACAAGAGGTTTTCATGGACCACTTCTACCTATATTGTTTTGGCTATAACTCAGTCACATGACTTCGCCTAGAGTGGATGAAAACTGCAATCCCTCACTGGACAGCATCCCAACAACGACACACACCATGAAAGGGAAACACACATCTTGCGTCTTTTATCTCAGTTTGAGTTCCCACAGAAAACAGGCTCTTAAATAAGACTTTTCAAGTGTTTTATTTGGTAAGTAAAGAAACACAGGTAAGAGGACAAGAAAGGGAAAAGAAAGCATCCAAAGCCAGATATGGTTTACCTCTGGGAACCAGAGTAGAGTATCCCAATTGAGAAGTTTGCAAATAAGAGTCTGTGTACACCTGTCAGTCATGGGTCATAATCTCACCCTCTAGCCTACTGTGTAGGTGGTAAAGCAGACTCCTGGCATCAGAGAATGTCTTTATGCAAAAATACACAGATGCTGGCAGTTGGAAGTTTGTACTTACACATTGAAGGGATATGTCTGAATCACTAAAGGTCAGCTACAATCTCTCTCAGAATCGACTTTATGGCCCAGTGACATATGGACTAAAAAGACAAGTTGCTTCATCCTCCTTAGCCCTGCCCAATCACATACCTAATACACAATGGTGGGGCAGGAACAGAATAACTAAAATAAAACTCTCTTTCAGAAAGGGGAGGAGTAGAGACCCATAGCTGTTGCTAGTCAGGATCAACTTTGAAGTTCTACTAGGCAGTATTAGGTGGTTCCTCTGCCTGATTAGATTCAGATTCTGCTTTCTGAAAGTAGATTTTTGATTCATTGCCCTCTCTGGCATCTCCCTCTGGGAGGGTCTTCCTTCTCCATTATCTTCTCTAGCTACATCTGGATTGGATATTGAGGAGTTTGAGCTCCTCGGGGGCTGTATGAGTTTTCACCCATTTCCTACTGTGCAAGCTTGAAGACTGTCAAAGTTTGATTGCTCCAGGTTTCTGGCTGCCTTCACAAAGCGACTATCTGAAAACCTTAGTATCCTTTGTATCTCTTTGCTTCCAGTCAGTCCCATGTATTAGTCATCAACCTTGAACACAGGACAAGGGGAAGGCCTGACTGATTAGCCTGGTGAAGATACATGAGACACTTTTAGAGCATTTTTTACTTCCACAGATAGTAAAAGAGAATAAGCCAAAGGTGCCAGTTCCCCAGCTCCTTGTCCCACACACCAAAAGGGATGACACTGAAAGAAAACAGCTGAGGACCACAACCTGAGTTGTGGGGAAACCCATCACCATGGAGCCAAACGTAGACAGCAGTCAAGTGGCTCTGTTCTGAGGGGATGGTGCAGAAAGCCCCATTTGTCATCAGAATATGGGAGGCTATGAGAAACTATCCATCACCTTGTTAAGGGAAACAGAAGGACAAGTGAGAGGTACCTCTGAGCTAGCAGCTGCACAGAGGCCTCCTATCCTCTCATGTTCCAGCAGGATCACAAGGTGTTTGGATGTGGCACCACCAAATATGCCACAATTCCAAACCCTTTCCTATATGCATACATGCAAAATTGCCAGGAAGTCATGGCAGAGCTTTCCCCCTACAGTAGTAGCCCCCCACACAGTTCTCCCCTAGACCAACTTTCAAGCCTGGCTGCTATCTTGGTCACACATCTCTCTCTCTCTCGGTTGATGGTGCCTATCCAGCTTGGGTGGTACAACCATACTCTCAACTAGATCCTTCCCACATGGATAGGTTGACATTTGTTTTGACATTTGTTGTGCAAAACCTCTCTCAGGTTTATCTCTTGTTTTTATGGCCCAGATGTAGGCAGCCTTTCCAACCTTGCAAAACCCTACATTTTTGGATTTTCTTAATTCCCTTTTATTTTTCACATACAAACAAACAATTCTTCTCTGAGTTTGTCTCTTTCTTATAATACCTAATTAAATGCAGCCAGTAGCAACATGTGTCACTAAGATTCCATTTTATTTTCTTTCCCATGCACCTCAGTAGACTCAATACGCTTATGCTTTACTTTCTAAGTTACCGAATACAACAATATTTTTAAAGATTTTATTTATTTATTTGACAGAGAGAGACACATTGAGAGAGGGAAAAAAGCAGGGGGAGTGGGAGAGGGAGAAGTGGGCTTTCTGCAATGCAAGGAACCCAATGTGGGACTCGATCCCAGTATCCTGGGATCATGACCCTCGCCGAAGGCAGACACTTAATGACACCCAGGTGCCCCCGAATACAACAATTTAAACAAATGTTTTGCCACTGCAAAGATGGTTTCTGCAGCAATCAAGATCATTTACTAATCTCATTTTTAAGATATAATCCCTATCTTTATCCATTTACTGTACTAGAAGCTTAAATATAAAACCCTATCCCTCAAAGAAATACATACTTTTAGTTTATTTATTAATTTGCAGAAATCTTATGTAGCAAAATATAGTAAGAAATACTCATATTTCCTCCATTCATATTTTAAAAGTAACTATTTTGTCATATTTGTTTCTTGTGTTTTTTCATTCTACAGACAGTTAAATATCAAGTTCCCTTTAATCCTACACCAAGTAGGGTTTGGAATGTCTGACTGTAGATGACAGAAGTGCCCAAGAAGCAAGAAGATGACCCTGAATGCCATAGAAATGAAGAGAAAGTTAATTCTGAACCTCATCTTCTGAGGTAGCTGCCTGTGGAAAAATCACAGCTATTCCCCATTTTCACCAAAACTTTCATGGACCACAACCCATATCACCACTTTCATTCTTTCCTCAGAGATTCTTTTCAGGGAAACTTTTATGGGCATCAAAATCAGCTGGCAGGTCTATTAAAATAGAATGCCTGGGGCGCCTGGGTGGCTCAGTTGGGTTAAGCCTCTGCCTTAAGCTCAGGTCGTGATCCCAGGGTCCTGGGATCGAGCTCCACATCGGGTTCTCTGCTCAGCGGGGAGCCTGCTTCCTCCCGCTCTCTCTCTGCCTCTCTGCCTACTTGTGATCTCTGTCTGTCAAATAAATAAATAAAATCTAAAAAAAAAAAAAATAGAATGCCTGGACACACGTGCAGAGTTCCTGACTCAGCAGGTCTGAGATTAGGCCCAAGAATTTGCATTTCTCACAAGTTCTCAGGTGATGCTGATGCAGCCAGTCCAGGCACTACACTGGATTGAGAAATACTGCTCTGTTTTTCCAAGATTACGTACTTCAGGGACAGATCCAGACCCTCCCTGCCTATGTAGACACACAGACAGGAGAACCTGTCACCTCATCTATTCTAAAGACAAGATGGACGCCTCCGCTGTTACAGTCAGCTGGCTGAAAGCTAAAAGGTCGAGCTCATTTTCCCCCTCTTCTTCGTTAGAGCAGCGGGGACTCTTCTCCTATCCTGAAGCCTCCACTTGGCCCAGAAGTGCCAGGAATGGGCTCCTGCCTCCTGGGGCAGAGAAGGGCAGGCAGCACGTGGCAAGGAGTAGGGTGGTGTGTCAGGAAGGGCAAGGGGCTTCCAGTCACACCACCTCTTCTCAAGCCCAGGGGCAGCCACTCCCTGGCTGATGGCCCTGGGCCTCACTTTCCCCATCCACACAGGATAATGACGCCCACAGCCTAGAGGACAGCTAAGAAGAGTAAATGGGAAGAGTGCAAGCAGGAGTCCTTGGTGTCTGTGAAGAACCTCACAAACAGTCTTTATCACCACAGCTTTGTGACACATCTGCTCATCCTCCTTGTTTTTATTTTATTTTCTACAACTCTAGTCACTTTGCTTCATTTTTAAGATTTTTCTCACCCTCTCCCCAACGATGGCCTTTACCTTTGAGCCCCAGTGTTACTGATGCTGACTCACCTGCCACGGGTGTATTTACACACGTAGACCCACCTGTAGGCACTGAAAAGAAAAGCAATCGGTATACAGGCCATTAAGCTCTCATACTGCTCAACCCAAAGTCATGAGCTTCTCAGTCTCAAGAGTGAGGAATGAAATAAGAAACACCAGCTAAGCAGTTTGTCACTGGTTCTCAACAAGCCAAGATTCTGCAGGCCCATTTAACCCCTCTCCCTGACCTTTGCCTTTAGACATTAGGTTCTGCCCCAGAATCTCCCCAACACTCAGGGAGTTGCAGAGAAAGAAAAGGAGAGGCCCTTTGAAGAGGGGCAGAGACTACTGAAGATCTTGACAAAGATCCTTTGCATTGGCTGTCTGATTCAAGCCACCCTGACATCTTCGTTCCCTTCAGAGCTCTGGTTTGTGGTAGGTGGTGCTCATATTCCGGTTATATTAGAGGTAAAAGGACCCTGTCTGTGGAGTCAAAGACTTGGATGCAGTTCTAATTCTACCCCTTAAAGCGTGACCTCACATCATTTAACTTATTGAAGCCTCCGTTTTCACACCTGTAAAACGGAGATACTACGATTTGCCTCATAGAGGGGTGATAATACATGGTTTCTCACGTACTGCCTGGCGAATGGCAGGTGTAAAATACTGATTGAGGAAACCTAATTTTCCCTGGGGCTTCATTTTTCGATGTGTTAGGACCGCGTCTAAGGTACTCCTAGCCCGCTGCCCCATCCCCTGAGCCGTGAGCACTTACTTGGCCTACTCCCAGCGGGGCCCAAGCAGCCCCTTCAAAGCCCTAAACCTGGGCAACCCCTAAACCTATTGGCGACAGTGCCACTCCCACCGCCCCACCCCCACCTTTGACATCTCGGCCCTCCTCCCTCAGCTGCGGTCCGCCTCACTTCCGCAGGAAGAGGCGGGCGAGTCCGCGCGCTTGGCGCGAAAGTCGGTTCGCCGCATCGGCGATTTCCGGGTTCGGCGTTTGCTTCGGGTCGGGGGCGCCGCCGGCTTCGGCGGGTGTGCGCCGGGCTGGCGCCCGACCCCAGCCACCGCCCAGCAGGCCGCGTGCCCCTCCGCTCGCCTCCCGAAGACCCCCCCCCCCCCCCCCCGGCTCCACCGTGGTGAGTGAGGCACGGAGAGAGGACCCAGCTCCCTCCCCACCCCAACTGGGTGGTCGCGACACCTTCCCTGGCCTTCGGGGCCCTTGTTTCCCGCCCGTGTAACCGGCCTTCGGACCGGCGGGTGGGACTTTGACGCCGGACCGGACGTGGCTGCGGTTGGACCGAGAGCCGGGCCTCTCTGTGGCAGCTGGCAAGCAAGAGCATTCGGCCTTCTGGGGGCATGGCCTTGCTAACCGGCTTCCACTTTTCCCATTAAAGTCCGTTTACTGAGGGGTGAACAAACGTCAGGGGCCGTGGACAGTTTCGTTCGTGGATCCTTGAGCTAAGTGCAATTGAATGCCCATTGGCTTAGGGGTCTTAGAGCCCCATAACAAAGGGCCCGAATGTATTCAATTTAGGGACATTAATTTTGTTCTCTGATTTGCCAGGATTGGTGGTGTCATCTTTTTCCCTGACTTTGCCCGCATTCCAGCGTTTCTTAGAAACTAATGAACGAATCCATGGACAAGGCCTTGTCCTTGGGCATTGTTGTCTGCACAGAAAAGTAGACGCTTTTAATTTTGAACTTTATACATGATGTGTTTTGTCCTTGTTAATGGTTCCTTTATTTTGACAGTTCAAAAATGTCCAGAAATGACAAAGAACCGTTTCTTGTGAAGTTTTTAAAGTCTTCAGACAATTCCGAATGTTTTTTTAAAGCACTTGAGGTAAGAATAGTTGAAAATGCCTTGTTTGATGCTGTGAATTCATTTTTTTAGTTTTTAGTGTTTTCGATTTGTTGGACTCTATGTCTTAGTAATTTATTTTCTTACTAGTTTTATTGTAATGGACATTAATATAGATGTGTCATTACATACTTTTGGATTGATGTAAATATATCATTATAATGTATTTTGGGGAGCATGAAGTCTATTACTTTTTTTTAGGATTTTATTGGGTAGAGAGAGGTGAGAGATCACAAGAAGGGGGAGAAACAGGCAGAGGGAGAAGCGGGCTCCCGGCTGAGCAGAGAGCCTGATGTGGGGCTTGATCCCAGGACCCTGAGATCATGACCGAAGGCAGACGCCTAACTGACTGAGCCAGCCAGGCACCCCATTATGACATTTATATTGAAGTTCGCAAATTTGCTATTCTTGGAAATTATATTGCTTTCTATGTCTACTAACTAGAGTAGACCTTTGTATGCTGAAGAAATTTGAATCTGTTATATACTGGTTACACTTCATTTTTTTTGTAGTTAAAAGTATGTTTCACAGTGTACAGTGTAATATGGAAAGATGTGGGGGGCATTGTAGAGCCTTGCTACTTACAGACCCCAGCAACATCAGTAGAGTTGGAAGTGTAGAACCTTGGGCCCAACTCAGACTGACCAATTAGATTCTGCATTTTAACAAGATCCTCGGTATAATTCCTATATATATTAGAGTTTAAGAAGCACTGTTGTAGCAGGTTTTTTTTTTTTTTTTAAAGTTCATTCAGCAAATAATTACTGAGTGTCATGACCTGTTAAGCACTGTTGTAGTACTTGGGATACATTGGTGAGCACAGCAGGGAAAGACCCATACTTTCTCAGAGCTTACATTCTGTTTTAGCAGGAGGACCTAGACATAAATCAGGATAAATGAGTAAACTGTATAATATGTTACATGGGGCTCTGTGCTATGTGAAGAGAAAAGAGCAAAACAGTTTAAGGAGTTCTAAAGGATGTTTGTTGTGGGAGAAGGGAAGGTTACAATCTTGAGTGTGATTGGTGAAGGCTTTATGGAGAAGATAAGTACACTTGAAGGAGGTGGGATGGTTAGACATGTGAATGTCTGAGGAAGAAGCTTTCAGGCAGAGAGAACAGCCATACACAGGTCCCTGAGAAAGTACTTGGAGTGCCTCCCCAACATACAGTGTCGCTGTAGTGTAGTGAATAAGGGTTGGGGGAAGAACATTAATGGGTGCTTTAGAGAGTAAGAGTAAAGAGGTCATGTAAAGAGCCTTGAGAGCCATGGTAAGGACTTCGACTTTTTCATTTGAGCAAATCTGATTGAAGTGAGGGATCAAGTCAGGTGAAGACTGGGAAAATATTTAATGGAGTGAGAACAAGAGCAGAACCTCTAACGAGTTTATGCGTGGCTTGTTCCAGACCTAGCAAGAAACAAGAAGTGACTAGAGAATGGTAAGCAGGGGAGAAAAGAGGTAGAAGGTTAGAGTGGGGAGATAGGCAGGAGCCAGACTCGTGACCTGATTTGTATCATTAAAGAGATTACTAGTTGCTGTATGGATAATAGATTTAGGGCAAGGAAAGGAAAAGGAACCACTTTGTAGACTTCTGCAGAGGTCTAGGTGAGAGATGATGGTAGCTTTCAATGGGAGAAAAGATTGGATTAGAGATGGATTTTTGAAGATAGAGTTCATAGGACTTAAATACAGGTGAAAAATTTCAGGTGCACTCTTTCATTTTTTTTCTTTCTTTCAGTCAATAAAAGAGTTCCAATCAGAAGAATATCTTCAGATCATTACAGAAGAAGAGGCATTGGAGATAAAGGAAAATGACAGGTCGCTTTATATCTGTGACCCTTTTAGTGGCATTGTCTTTGATCACCTCAAAAAGGTTTGCTAACTTTTCGTGTGTTCCTTCTATAGTCTGATTTTTGTTGTTTTTGCTTCAGTGGACATAAGTTCTTTACTGACCATGAGATATTATACAGATTATGAATATAGAAGAATCTTTTGGTTTGGGAGACCAGAATTATATTTTTAAAGACTAATCGTGTTATGATAGGCTTTTCTTATATGTAATTTTTATATTTTTATTAATTAATTTTATATTTCAGGATATATAACTTCTCTTAGCTTAAGTCAATGATATAGTAATAAAACACTTTATTGACAGAGTTCTGCCGTACTTAAACTCAGTTTGATTGCAAGATTTTCCATAAAAACTTGGTAAAGACCTCAACATAATGCTTGGTTATTTACTGTCTTTCCTATGTGCTCTTTCACATGCAGTTTTCATACCTATACCTTGTAGAGAGGGTCTGAAACATTATATGCCTAAAGGAAGCATTTTGGGGATGAATATTGCTGATATACCAATGAGCCATCTTATTTCTTTTTGTTGATTCCAGAGTCTACTGACTCATTACTTTTTTGGTGTCTGGACAAGAGAGAAGCATTGAAATAAAAGTAAACTGGCTGTAATTCCATCCAGATTACAAAGAAGTGATTCTTGTTTGAAGGAGAAGAAAACATAGAAGAGTAGGTAGATGCAGTATCTGCACAATTTATGGAAGGTCTGTGCCCACCTTTGCGAAAAGCATTGTTGGTCTACCCTCCTTTTGGAAATAACACACCTTGTCAGATAGAATCAATAGCATTAAAAACAAATTTTCCTATGATTGAACAAAAAGGTAACAATAATTGTTTACTGTGCGCATCTTTAAATCAGTCATGCCCTGGTGACTTTGGCAACCATATGCTTTTTTAGATCTGACTTGAATGTGCTGATGTTGAGCAAGACTGTCAACTTTTCCTAACTCAGTTATCAGTGAAAATAAAAGGCCATTTTTTAAAAAAAAATTTTTATTTATTTTCAGCGTAACAGTATTCATTGTTTTTGTACCACACCCAGTGCTCCATGCAATCCGTGCCCTCTCTAATACCCACCACCTGGTTCCCCCAATCTCCCACCCCCTGCCCCTTCCAAACCCTCAGATTGTTTTTCAGAGTTAAAAGGCCATTTTTAATAGCCTTGTAATATCTTTGAGAAATACTTACTTGGAAATACATTGAGTTAAAGACAAAGTATTTAAAACACAAATGTAGAAACTGCCTAGGATTTTTGTATGTTTGTGTGACAGAATAGGTATTTTAGAAGGGGTTAATTAGGCTCTTAAACTTTTGAACTGCTTGGTTGGCTGGATACTTCATTTAAAAACTATATGGATTTTCCCAATTATTATAGCATAAGTCTGTTATTCCTATAACCTATCATTAAGACTGTTTGTTTCTGATATTAAAATTTGATGGTGGGATGCCTGGGTGGCTCAGTGGGTTAAGCTGCTGCCTTCAGCTCAGGTCATGATCCCAGGGTCCTGGGATCGAGTCCCGCATCGGGCTCCTTGCTCAGCAGGGGGCCTGCTTCTCTCTCCGCCTCTGCCTGCCTCTCTGCCTGCTTGTGTGTCTCTCTTCCTCTCTGACAAATAAATAAATAAATAAAATCTTTTTTAAATAAATAAATAAATAAAATTTGGTGGCAGTTGTGATTGAATGTGGCTCTTAAAGCTTATTTCTTTTGATAGCCTGCATTAATTGCCTGTGCATTTAATGTGTGGTGTCTCTGAGAAATTATATAATGGTCCTTATTTTGTCTTATAACAATTTAGCGGTGCTCATCAACTTCTGTAAAGAATTGCTAAATATTGAGGCTCCTGGCTGGCTCAGTCAGTTTAGCATCTACCTTTGGCTCAGATCATGATCCCAGGGTCCTGAGATCGAGCCCCACGTTGGGCCCTCTGCTCAGCAGGGAGCCTGCTTCTCCTTCCCCCTCTGCCTGCTGCTCCCCTGCTTTTGCTCTCTCTCTCTCCCTCTCTTTCTCTGTCAAATAAATAAATAAAATCTTTAAAAGAAAAAAGGGAGGGGGCCTGGGTGGCTCAGTGGGTTAAGCCTCTGCCTTCAGCTAAGGTAATGATCCCAGGGTCCGGGGATTGAGCCCCGCATCAGGCTCTCTGCTCAGCAAGGGGCCTACGTCCCCGCCCCTCCCCACCCTGCCTGCCTCTCTGCCTACTTGTGATCTCTCTGTCAAATAAATAAATAAAATCTTAAAAAAAAAAAAAAAAAGAAGGGATTGCTAAGTATTACAAAATGTAATTTTATAAGCGAGAGGTCTTTTCCTACATACTAAACTTTCTCCCTTTTTTTGTAGCTTGGCTGCAGAATTGTTGGCCCTCAAGTAGTCATATTTTGTATGCACCACCAGCGATGTGTCCCAAGAGCTGAACATCCAGTTTATAATATGGTTATGTCTGATGTAACTGTATCTTGTACAAGCCTGGAAAAAGATAAAAGGGTAGGTACTGAAAGGAATATCATGATCAATATATTTATCTCCACACTTAATCTTTCACTGCATAGGAGACACTTTGAAAGACCTTGTACTCGGTGTTCATGACTTAAGGTCTGTATACACCAATGTATAGCTTTTCTATTTTAATGAAATAGAAATAGTGGAATCTGTTTTATTGAGAACTACTTGAAAGAAAACTCTCTTTTTCCCCTTTTTTCCCTGAGTTTGAGTCACATTTTTCCATAATAGGTGGTTAATCTTCTTTTAAAAAATGTTGATGGAGTGCCTGGGTGGCTCAGTTGGTTAAGCTTCTCACTTTGGCTCAGGTCATCATCTCAGCGTCTTGGGGTCGTTGGGCTCTGAGCTCAGTAGGGAGTTTTCTTCTCCCTTTCCCCCAACTTGTGCTCACGCTCCCTCTCTTGCTCACTTGCTCTCTAATACATAAAATCTTTAAAAAAATTATTTTAAAAAACGTTGAGAGGTAGAATGGGCTGTGGGTTTAACATTTGCTATGAGGAAAGAAATGCTTTGACAATGCTAAAAGAGAAAATACATATTTTTATATATAATGTGTATAATTAATATTTTTAAATATATATATGCACAGTATATTATAGAAGCAACATAGGTTAATAAACTCATGGAGTTGAAAGGAACAACTATATGAAAGTAATTATTTTAAAATTTATGTATAATTCATATTTATTTTTATCCAAAAAGTAATTTGATTATTTAACTTTATAGTGGTGAGAAACATTTGTGCCTTCAAGTTAACAACAACAAAAGATATTTGAGTTTTTGTATAAAAAAATGGAAGAGGTATTGTTTGCTTTGGTATTAATGTATTTTCTTTTGGGTTTACAGGAAGAAGTTCATAAATATGTACAAATGATGGGTGGACGTGTATATAGAGACCTTAATATATCAGTAACTCACCTTATTGCAGGAGAAGTTGGCAGCAAAAAATATTTAGTTGCTGCAAATCTAAAGAAACCTATTTTGCTTCCTTCTTGGATTAAAACACTTTGGGAAAAGTCACAAGAGAAGTAAGAAAGACATTTATGTGTTTTCTAGATTTGAAAAAATGATACATTCGATCATTTTGGCATATTGTGGGTTGTTACAGGGGAGGTTTTATGTTGTCCTTTTTTGGGATTTGTTATTCAGGGACCAAAAAAAATGGGGTTATTACTCTTCACTGAAAATAAGCATAATCTGCAAGGTCTCATCAAGGTATAAGTTGATAAGTAGAATAGGCTTTTGATTTAATACTAGTTACAAGGTAAGAAATGCTTTGACAATAAAAATTGCTTTCAGCAGTAAATGCCTATAAAATAGTTGAGAAGATCACTGTGGCAACTGTTGTTCTTAAGTTGCATTATCCTTCTACTACTGTGCTAAGATGGAGAGTAAATTAGCCATCTTGACAATTGTATTCCCTCACAAAGGTGTCTATGTAAAGTTGAATATAAACATATGTCAGCCATTAGGATGTGGTCATTCAGTAAATGTTTATCAAGTTCGTTTTATGTACCTGGCCTGAGCTAGGCTTTAGACATACCTACTAAGCAAAGCAGGATAGCATCCCTGCCTGCCCCTGTGGAACTTAGAAATGGGTGTTTTTTCCAGTCTTTTTTCAACACCATCCAGCGCATTCTAAACCTGCCTCCACACTGGTGCCTTTATACTTTTTTTTTTTTAAAGATTTTATTTTATTTATTTGACAGAGAGAGATCACAGTAGACAGAGGCAGGCAGAGAGAGAGAGAGAGAGGGAAGCAGGCTCCCCACTGAGCAGAGAGCCCGATGCGGGACTCGATCCCAGGATCCTGAGATCATGACCTGAGCCGAAGGCAGCGGCTTAACCCACTGAGCCACCCAGGCGTCCCTGGTGCCTTTATTCTTAACACATCTGTCTTAAATGGAAAAAGAGTGACATTTTTGTTAGTAATCTGCTAAAAATTATTGCTTATTATTTATGTCGTATGATGGAAGGATAAAAAGTCCATCTTTCTAGTAGGCAACCAAGGTCCTTTGAGTTTTTAAGTAAATTCACACGTAAAATTTTGGAAAATATACCACTTTGACCAGCATGAACTCAGAAGAGTTAATGAAATAACATTTTCCCTTAAAAGTTTTATTTAAGAAGCTCTATCTGAAATACTACTTTTTACATGAGCAGATAGTGTAATTTTGAGTTTCAGTACCCGTTTTCTAAAAAATGAGGAAAGCATTAGTGATTTCTGTTGTTTGTCATTATTCTTCTGATAAATTTTAAACCATTTGGTATATTAATATGTTAATTTTTTTCCTTGTTACTTATTTTTTCCAGAAAAATAGCTAGGTATACTGATGTAAACATGGAAGACTTCAAGTGTCCCATTTTTCTTGGTTGCATTATCTGTGTGACTGGCTTGTGTAGTTTAGACAGAAAGGCAGTTCAGCAACTCACAATTAAGCATGGAGGTCAATACATGGGACAACTGAAAATGAATGAATGCACACACCTCATTGTGCAAGAACCAAAAGGTAAAAACTATGTTTCCCAAATGGAAAAAATGCAAAATTTTCTCTAGTATTTAACATTTTAAGATCTTTACAGAATAGCTTTTGCTTCTGATGTGTTAAAAATCTCATATTTTTTCCCCCTAAAATCTTAGAAAAATAGTTTGGTTCACAAATCTGTAGAAAAGTTACATGACTATCCAGGTTTATCCAGGTCATTGAAAAAATATTTTTTTCAATTTCCAGTGGTTTTTATTGTTTGATTTTTTTTTCAAAGTTTGCTACATAGTTACCAAATAATTACAGAACAAGAAATTTGGATGAACAACAAAAAGGCTAATAGATATAGCTAAATTACATTTCTTTCTAATGATAAATTTTATTTTATTTTATTTATTTTTAACATTTTATTTATTTATTTGACAGAGAGAGAGAGCACAAGTAGGCAGAGAGGCAGGCAGAGAGAGGGGGAAACAGGCTCCCCACCGAGCAGAGAGCCCAATGTGGGGCTCAATCCCAGGACCCTGAGACCATGACCCGAGCTGAAGGCAGAGGCCTAACCCTCTGAGCCCAGGTGCCCCTCTAATGATAAATTTTAAAGGCTTGGCTTAGTTTTTAATTGAGTGAATCTGATTTACTGGATGAACTAGAAGTTATAACTTGAAGATACACCTTGCAGAGCACGAGGCAGTTAAAAGAAGAAAAATATACTACCAGTAAGAAGAATTCCTTAAAATTGTGTTTAATTTTGGTGTCCTGAAATGTTTATTATCTATTTTGGAAGATTTTTTTTTTCTTTACAAATACCCTTAAAATATATACAAATTGATGAGAGAGGAATTTTGTTAATGTTTTTGTTATTTATTTATGTCTGTGTTTTATTAAGCTACCTAGATAGCAAAATAGGAAAAAAAAAAAACCCTGCTAAAATTAATTGGTAATTGTCCTTAAATCAGAACTTTGTGTATGGCCAACTATGATATTATAATTGTGAGTAGAGTTGGTAACTGCTATTGAATTTCTGAATCTGAAGGCAGTTCATCTCTTTGCTCTCAAGAATGTCCAAAAAAATCCTTTTTGTGTTATTGTTTAGTACACATTGACCTCAGTTTCTCTATGGCACTGTTTCAAAATACATTGTGTTAAAAGTTGTTTTAAGGCGATTAAAAAGATATATTTCTTACAATATGCCTGTTTGGACTTCAAGTCAAATCCTGTTGACATTAGAATAGACTATTCAAAGCTGGTATTTTTATATTGTGGACATTTACAATCTTCACAGTTGTTTTATTCAGTCTTACTGAAGCCACATAATTCTGTGAGTTATTCCCATGTTACAGAGTAAGAAACTGGTTTAAAGAAATTAAGCAGTGGAGACTATACTCAAACCTAGTATTTCAGTCACCACATATAAATTATGCAATTTTAAGAGACAAACCCCCTTGCATACAGTATATAGCATACTGTTTATATAAGAATAATTACTGGTAACTTTAATTTTGTTTTGGTGAGTTTTTTCAAACCATAACCTATCATGCTTTAATATTTCTACAAAGATATATTTTAATGGTTTACATTTTTCACTATTTCTTAATGACATGATAGGTCAAAAGTATGAATGTGCCAAGAGATGGAATGTACACTGTGTGACCACGCAGTGGTTTTTTGACAGTGTTGACAAAGGTTTTTGTCAGGATGAATCCATATACAAGACAGAGCCGAGATCAGAAACAAAGACTGTGCCTGATACTTCAACTCCTACTGGCCAGCTCAACACAGTTGATAGTAAGTTTCAGTGGGATTAAAGTAAACAGTCATTTTTAACACCACTTTCTTTGTAAGAATTGATTTGTAAATAGGATCAGTGAGATATAGTAGGGAATTCCATCCTTTCTTGCTATGCTTCCAGGCATAATTATGTAATAGCTAAATTGTATGAAAACTAGTCCAGAATTCTAGGTATTTATTTTTAAAATGGGTGTATATTTTCTTTCATACCTTAGTTTAATGCAAAAGATGATTAAAGAAGCCGAGATTACTACAAAGACTTAAAAAAGAATTTTTCTAAACCTGACTGGTGGGCAAATGTAATACATTTTTATTAGTTTGCTACTATTATAGACCATCTATATTCATATAAAATTGAAAACCATTTCTATTTTGTTCATGCCATGTTAGAATTTAGCATATGTTATACTTTTTCCTTTCCTGGACTCTATAGCGAACAACTTCAGATTGCATATGGAAGCAAGCCACTATTAAATGTATTAAGTATGTTTTTATTTGAAATAAGATATAAGCCTTAGTTTCATTTTCCCTTGTCATGCTTGGCCACCAAGATTAAAATAAAAACATTCGATGCTTACTTTGGAAGTTATTCACAGCCCTTGGTGTATAAGAAAAATTAACCTATAGGAAAATAGGTAATCACTATTTTATCTCCATAAATTTCTACATCTTTGTTTGATATGTAGGTCGTACTCTTTCAGATGTCAGCCATATTTCCAACATCAATGCAAGTTGTATAAATGAATCGATGTGTAATTCAGTTCTTAATAGCAAAGTGGAGCCTACACTTGAAAATCTGGAAAATCTGGATGTCAGTGCATTTCAAGCACCTGAAGATTTATTAGATGGTTGTCGGGTATGTCTTTATTATGTAATACCTCAGTGATAATGTACATCAGTATTTCTAGCCTGACTTTGAAGACCCTCAGAGTTGGGCTTATTCTTTATCCATGTAAACTATTTACTCTAGCCAAGCAGATGTAAGCACTGGGCCACATCTATCCATAACTGTCATTTATTAAGTGTTATTAATATCCTAGGCTGTGCTAATCAATTAATATATGTTGTTAATATATTGTATGTAATCTCGTTTAACTCCCACAAATAACTCTAAAATGGATATTACCCTGAAACTGAGGCTTGTTCAGTTCTTGTTCAGATTCATGCAGATATTAAGTAGACATCCATCTACTCCAAATCCTATGTTCCTAACCACTAGACCCACTACTTTGTTTTATGTCTCTTGGGCTACTTAATTTTTTAGTGTGTAAATAAACTATCTTCTAAGTGTCTTTTTTTTTTTTTTAAATATTTTATTTATTTATTTGACACACAGAAAGAGAGAGAGATCACAAGTAGGCAGAGGAGCAGGCAGAGAGTGAGGCGGAAGCAGGCTCCCTGCGGAGCAGAGAGCCTGATGTGGGACTCGATCCCAGGACCCCGAGACCATGACCTGAGCCGAAGGCAGCGGCTTAACCCACTGAGCCACCCAGGCGCCCCTCTTATAAGTGTCTTGATGGAAACATCATATGCTGTAGATCTCCTAGAGCTGAATTTTAATATATTTCTACTTGTAGAGTGGATAGGCTGTACATTAGTTGATAAAACATCAATTTATTGTCAGAACAGAAAGTGTCTTATATAATCTTTTATCCTAGACTCTGGTAATTATGGATATGACTTTTAGTTATTGTTTTTTTTTAAGATTTATTAATTTTAGAGAGGACACCACAAGAGGAAGGGGCAGATCTCAAGCAGACTCTGCACTGAGCATGGAGTCCAACATGCAGCTTGATCTCAGTATCCTGAGATCATGACCTGAGCTGAAACCAAGGTTAGACGCCTAACCAATAGGGCCTCCTAGACGCCCCTAACTTTTAGTTATTCTTACAGGAAGTTTATGATTCCTGATTTTTGTTACAGTATCTTCTAATAACAGGTTATTTAGTTTGGGATATAAATGGAGTTAGGAATAGATCTGCCATTCTTAAGAAAATTTTTTTAAAGACATCTAAAATACAGATGAAAAAGCTTTATATTTATTAAATTGGTTTCAATATATACATAGTGATACTTAGAAATAAATTATTGCATATAATCCTCAAAGTACTGTGCTCAGCTTGACTTAAATTTTCTTGTGTAATCAACTATGTAAAGGATATCTCAATTTATAGGTGAGAACACTGGTTTAAAGAGCCTAAGTCACTTATCATGGGCATGTAATTAATTATTGGCCTCTGAACCAAAATTTACACCCAAGTTTTCTGAATTCAGATAAACTCCTGTTTCTTTTTTTTTTTTTAATTTTTTTAATTAACATATAATGTATTTGCCCCAGGGGTTACAGGTCGTGAATCGTCAGGCTTACCCATTTCACAGCACTCACCATATCACATACCCTTGCCAATGTCCATAACCCAACCACCCTCTCCATATCACCCTCCCCCCAGCAACCCTCAGTTTGTTTTGTGAGATTAAGAGTCTCTTATGGTTTGTCTCCCTCCTGATCCCCTCCTGTTTCATTTTTTCCTTCCCTACCCCCTAAGTCCCCCACCCTGCCTCTCAAATTCCTCATATCAGGGAGATCATGTGATAATTGTCTTTCTCTGATTGATTTATTTCACTCAGCATAATACCCTCTAGTTCCATCCACGTCATTGCAAATGGCAAGATTTTATTTCTTTTGATGGCTGCATAGTATTCCAGTGTGTGTGTGTGTGTGTGTGTGTGTGTGTGTGTGTGTGTGTGTGTGTAGATATATATGCACACACACCACCTCTTCTTTATCCATTCTTCTGTTGATGGACATCTAGGTTCCTTCCATAGTTTGGCTATTGTGGACATTGCTGCTATAAACATTTGGGTGCACGTGCCCCTTCGGATCACTACATTTGTATATTTGGGGTAAATACCCAGTAGTGCAATTGCTGGGTCTTAGGGTAGCTCTATTTTCAACTTTTTGAGGAACCTCCATGCTGTTTTCCAGAGTGGCTGCACCAGCTTGCATTCCCACCACCAGTGTAGGAGGGTTCCCCTTTCTCTGCATCCTCGCCAACATCTGTCGTTTCCTGACTTGTTGATTTTAGCCATTCTGACTGGTGTGAGGTGATATCTCGTTTCCAGTTTATTTCTGTAATTTAAATTTACAAGTAGTGGGGCGCCTGGGTGGCTCAGTGAATTAAGCCACTGCCTTCAGCTCAGGTCATGATCTCAGGGTCCTGGGATCGAGCCCTGCATCTGCCTCAGCATCCCTGCTGAGCAGAGAGCCTGCTTCCCCCTCTCTCTCTGCCTGACTCTCTGCCTACTTGTGATCTCTCTTTCTCTGTCAAATAAATAAATAAAATCTTTAAAAAAAAAATTTACAAGTAGTAAGATCTTCAGCATTTAAGGAGCTACCTGCATTTTAGATACTGCTATGCACTAGTATCCAGAAGGTAACTGAATTCTAGCTTCCATTTTATTTAAAGCCTCAAAGTACTTAGCTGCTGTCTACAGCAGGATAGATATGGATATCTAGATATGGATAATAGATATGGATATAGATATGGATAATAATGCTATGGGATTGTGAAGAAATAATAAAAAGTAAAAATTTCACAATTGTTCGGGCACCTGGGTGGCTCAGTTGGTTAAGCGTCTGCCTTCGGCTCCAGTCATGATCTCAAGATCCTGGGATTGAGCCCCATGTCAGGCTCCCTGCTCAGCCTGGAGTCTGCTTCTCCCTGTCCCTCTGACCCTCTCCCCAGCTCCTGCTCCCATTCGCTCCCAACTCTCTCTCTCAAATGAATTTTAAAAATCTTTTAAAAAAAAAATGTTGGAATTGTTAAAAAAAAGTTTCAGATTATACTCTATTCTTAATGTATTAAATGTATGCAGAGCTGTGTATTTACACACAATGCATTTGGATATATATTTTTAGTGTGTTCCTGTTGAGAGAAGCAAACCATCTTAAATGCATTAATCTAAAGTAAATATTTTCTTTCTTTGCAGATCTATCTTTGTGGTTTTAGTGGCAGAAAGCTTGATAAACTGAGAAGGCTTATTAACAGTGGAGGTGGAGTTCGTTTTAATCAGCTCAATGAAGATGTAACTCATGTTATCGTGGGAGATTATGATGATGAATTGAAGCAGTTTTGGGATAAATCAGCCCACAGGTTTTGTCCGTTTTTAATTCAAAGCAATTTCTACTCTAATGATTTTCTTAAAATTGCCTATCTATGCAATTATGGAAACTGCATGGCAAGTGGGATTATAGTCTTTATGGTTTAAGCTAATAATTATGTACTATTTTTGCAGGCCTCATGTAGTAGGAGCAAAATGGTTGCTAGAGTGTTTTAGTAAAGGTTACATGCTTCCTGAAGAGCCATATATCCATGCTAACTACCAGCCAGTGGAAATTCCAGTTTCAGATCAGCCTGAGAGTAAAACAGCCCTTTTAAAAAGGAACAACAGCTTGTCTAAGAAAAACTTGGCTCCTGATGAAAAGCATGAACAAGCTGATGAAGATCTGCTCTCTCAGTATATAAATAATAACCCAACAGTAGGTAAGAAATAGTTGATGAGTATTTACAGTCATTAAGAAATGTTTTAATAGCTTAATACATACACATGTGATTTCTGCCAGTTTTTCTAGATTTTAAGCTAAACCTTTTTCTTCCTTAATCTTTCTAAGGCAAAGCCTGGGGGGTGCTGAACCCTCTGACTGCCTTGTCTCTCTTCAACTCACTGGCTCTTCTTTGATCTGTTTTATATGCCAGCATCAGTTTGTTAGCGTGAGTTTGTAACAGCATGAATTTTTCTTTTTAAATTTTTAAGATTTTACTTATTCTTTAGAGTACACATAAGGAGGATGGGGCAAAGGGAGAGGGAGAAGCAGGCTCCTTGCTGAGCATGGATTCCCAATGCAGGGCTGGATCCCAGGACCCTGAGATCATGACCTGAGCTGAAGGCAGATGCTTAACAGACTGAGCCCCCCAGGTGCCCCATGTAACAGTACACTTTTATTTTAACCTTGTAATTACCTCTTACTTGGTTATTGTGATCATTAATGCATACAATGCTGCACTGTACCACAACCTCTGTATATAGTCTTCTTGGTGTGAGAAGGAAACTTGCCAGTGAAGAGTTGTGAGCAGAATTTCTTCTTACTTAAGAAAAAATTTTTTGAAATATTTAATACAGTGAAAAGGAAGTCAAGAATAATGCGATGAGTAGCCATATACTACTACATAAGTATAAGAAAAATAGAATATTCCACTCCACCAAAGCCTCCTGTGAGTCTCTCCATTTTCCTTATAGATTACATGTGTCTATACATATGTATCTTTATGCAATATAGATACTCATTTTGTGTATATTTTAGCTTATATAGATGATATACAGTATGTACTGGTTTGCTGCTCCCCTCCAACCATGAGAAATATTTAACCAAGTAACTGATTGAATATACCACAGTTTATCTGTTTTCCCACCTTATAGACATTTTTATTGTGTCTTTTTTTTTTTTTGCCAGTGCAAACACTACTGCTGAGATTGTTCTTACCTATGTCTCTGTGATTGCTCAGAGGTTTCTTTACATGTATAGGATGCCAAGTTTGGTCTGCTCTGTATAGATTAGTGATGCACATGTGTTAAACTCCTCCACTGTAATGTTGACTTTGACAGTTTCTCCATGTAGTTCTGTCAAATTTAGTTTTTTAATATATTTTGATGTTTTATTACATGATGATCCTCATTTTCCTAATTTTGTTTTTCTTAAAATCTGTTTTGTCTGATATTAATAGAACTATCCCTGCCTCATGTGAGTCAGTATTTATCTGGTATGACTGACTTTTTCTTTAAAACTGCAAATTTGGTTGCTTTACATTTACTGTTACTTGTGATATATTTTTATTATTTTATACCATCTTATTTCATGCTGTTTATCCCATTTTTCTGTGCCTCCATATTTAACATTTTTGCTTCCTTTTGGATAGCTTGAGCTTGCCCCCTCTCACCTCAATCTCCACTTCCCTGTCCTCCCTCTACTGATGTAGAAGTTACATCTATTCATATTTTTAGAGATTACTTAGAACTAGAATGTGCATCATAACTTGAAATCTAAAGTTAATATTTTTCTTCATCTTGAATAATATGAGAACTTTATACACTATCTTCAACAGCACTGCTAATCATACCCCCCTACATACACTCAATTTATGTGATTTGGGCCAGTATTTTCATTGTCTTTTTTAATCTGACAGACACTTAGGTTTTATATCGTCCATACTTGTTTTGATTTACCAACATGTTTAGCAATTTCTTTGCTTCTCATTCTTTGTTGTATCTGAGAATTCTCTTCTGGAATCATTTTCTTCCCTCATATAAAATAATATCCTTTAGAAATTTCTTCAGTTTCTGTTAATGTCTTTATTTCTGCCATTGTTCTTAAAAAATAGTTATGCTAGGAATACAGCAATGTAATATCACCTCACACATGTCATAAAGGGTAAAATAAAAAAACACTAGAAATAACAGGTGTTGGCAAGGTATGGAGAAGAAGGAGCACTTGTGCACTGTTGGCAGGAATGCAAACTGGTGCAGCCACTCTGGAAAACAGTATGAAGGTTCCTCAAAAATTTAAAAGTGGAACTACCCTGTGATCCAGCAATCACACTACTAGGTATTTACTCAAAGAATATAGAAACACCAGTTTAAAGGGATACATGCAGCCCTATGTTTATAGCAGCATTATTTACAATAGTAAAGATATGGAAGCAGTCCAGTATTTAATGACTGATGAATGGATAAAGAAGATGTGTGTGTGTATACACACACAGGAATATTATTCAGCCATAAGAAAGAATGAAATCTTGCCATTTGCAATGGCGTGGTTGGAGGTAGAGTATAATGGAAGCAAAATAAATCAGAAAAAGACAAATACCAAATGATTTCACTCATATATGGAATTTAAGAAAGAAAATAGGCAAGGTAGAAAAAAAAATGAAAGATACAAAGCAAGAAACAGACTCTTAATTATAGAGAACAATCTAATGGCTATCAGAGGGGACAGGGGTGCAGGGATGGGCTCAATAGGTGATGTGGATTAATGAGTCTGAAGACCTAACTAGAAAAAAGTTGCTATGGGCTATGTTAAAGAGGTTACCGCCTGTGTTCTCATCTAGGATTTTTATGGTTTCAGGTCTCAGATTTGGGTCTTTCATCCCTTTTGTGTATGGTATAAGGAAGTGATCCAGTTTTATTCTTTTGCATGTAGCTGTCCAGTGTTCCAAACACATTTTGTTAAAGAGACTGTCCTTTCCAATTGCATATTCTCTCCTGCTTTGTTGAAGATTAATTAATTAATGACCATAATTAATTACCATGGTCATTAATTAATGACCATATAGTTAAGGGTTTATTTCTGGGTTCTCTTTTCTGTTCCGTTGATCTGTGTGTCTGTTTTTGTGCCAATATCATCCTGTTTTGATTGTTTCAGCTTTGTAGAAATCTGGAAACGTGATGCCTCCAGGTTTGCTTTTCTTTCTCAAGATGCTTTGGCTACCAGCAGTCTTTTGTGGTTCCACACAAATTTTAGGATTGTTAGTTCTAGCTCTGTGAAAAAATACTATTGATTTTTGATAGGGATTGCATTAACTGTGTAGATTGCTTTGGGTAGTGCAGACATTTTAACAATATTTGTTCTTCCAGTTTATGAGAGTGGAATATCTTTCCATTTCTTTGTGTCGTTTTCAATTTCTGTAATCAGTGTTTTATAGTTTTCAGAGTACAGGTCTTTCACCTCATTGGTTAGGTTTATTCCTAGGTATCTTATTATTTGGGGTGCAGTTGTAAATGGGATTGTTTCCTTAATTTCTCTTTCTTTTCTGCTGCCTCATTATTGGTGTGGAGAAATGCAACAGATTTCTGTATTTGATACTGTTTTTGTTTTATTGTTGTTTTGGGGGATTTTTTTATATTTTATTTTCCCTTTAACTAGGCTTCACACCCAGTGTGGGGCTTGAACTCATGATCTGGAGCTGAAGAGTCACATGCTCTACTGACTGAACCAGCCATGCAGCCTGTACATTGATTTGGTATCCTGTGACTTTACTGAATTTGTTTATCAGTTCCAGCAGTTTTTTTGTGGAGTTTTTAGGGCTTCCTGTATATAGTATATTACCTCCAAATAGTGAAAGTTTTAACTTTTTCCTTAGCCAGTTTGGACGCCTTTTGTTTTTGTTGTCTGATTGCTGTGGCTAGGACTTCCTGTACTGTGTTGAATAAAAGTGGTGAGAGTGGACATCCTTGTCTTATTCCTTGTTAGGGGGAAAGTTCTCAGTGTTTCCCCATTGGATGTTTGCTATGGGTGTTTCATATATGGCCATTATTATGTTGAGGTATTTCCCTCTAAACCTACTTTGTTGAGAGTTTTTATCATGAATGAACATTGTGCTTTGTTAGATGCTTTTTCTGCATCTATTGAAATGATCATATGGTTTTTATCCTTTCTCTTATTGATGTGATGCATCACACTGATTTGTGAATATTAAACCACCCTTGCATCCCAGGAATAAGTCCCACTTGATTGTGGTGAATGATTTTTTTTTTAATATATTGTTGAATTCAGTTTGGTAAGTGGGGTGGGTGGTGGTTGCAGAGGAAGAGGGAAAAGCCCAGCATGGGGCCTCAATCCCTCGACTCCAGGATCGTGACCTGAGCCAAAGACATCCACGTAACCCACTGAGTTAGCCAGATGCCTCATGAACCCCCTCCTTTTTTTTAAGATTTTAGAGAGAAAGCTCACAAGCAGAAGAAACAGCACGCAGAGGGAGAAACAGGCTCCCCGCTGAGCAAAGATCCTGATGTAGGACTCGATCCCAGGACTCCAGGATCATAACCTGAGCCGAAGGCAGACGCTTAACTGTTTGAGCCATCCAGGTGTCCCACATAAAAACCATTGTTAACTTATAGGCTACAGGTCCAGTTTCGCCCTTAGGCTACAGTTAGCCACTCCTGTACAATGCACCACTAAAGTTTTCAAAAACGAAGTTTTTACCTTTTTTTTTTATTATTATTATTTTTTTATTTTAGTTAGTGAACATACAGTGCAATATTAGTTTCAGGAGTAGAATTCAGTGATTCATCACTTACAACACCCAGTGGTCATCACAAGCACCCTCTTTACTTTTTTTTTTTTTTTTTTAAAAAAACAAGTGCCCTCTTTAATACCCATCACCCATTCAGCCCATCTCCCATCCACCTCCCTCCCACCAACTCCCAGCTTGTCTTCTAATCTTAAGAGTCTCTTATGGCTTGTTTCCCTTTCTCCTTTTTTTTCTTTTCCCTGCTCCGTATGTTCACTTGTTTTCTTTCTTTCTTAAATTTCACATACGAATGAGATCATATGGTATTTGTTTGTCTCTGACTGACTTATTTCACTTAGCGTAATACACTCTAGCTCCATCCATGTCATTGCAGATGGCAAGATTTCATTTTTTTGATGACTGAGTAATATTCCAGTGTGTGTGTGTGTGTGTGTGTGTGTACACACCACATCTTTATCCATTCATCTGTTGATGACATCTGGGCTCTTTCTATAGTTTGGCTATTGTGGGCATTGGTGCTATAAACATTGGGGTGCAGGTGCCCTTTCAGATCAGTACATTTGTATCTTTGGGGTAAATGCCCACTAGTGCAATTGCTGGGTCATGGGTAGATCTATTTTCAACTTTTTGAGGAACCTCCAAACTGTTTTCCAGAGTGGCTACACCAGTTTGCATTCCTGACAGTGCAAGAGGGCTCCTTTTCTGTGCATCCTCACCAACACCTGTTGTTTCTTGTGTTGTTAATTTTAGCCATTCTGACTAGTGTGAGGTGGTGTCTCATTGTGGTTTTGATTTGTATTTCTCTGATGATGAGTAATGTTGGCATCTTCTATATCTGTTAGCCATTTGGATGTCTTCTTTGGAAAGGTATCTATTCATGTCTTCTGGCCACTTCATTGCTGGGTATTTGTTTTTTGGGTGTTGAGTTTGATAAGTTCTTTATAGATTTTGAATACTAACTCTTTATCTGATACGTTATTTGCATCTATCTTCTCCCATTCCATAGGCTTTTAGTTTTATTGATTGTTTTCTTTGCTGTGCAAAAGCTTTTTATCTTGACGAAGTCCCAGTAGTTCATTTTTGCTTTTGCTTCCCTTGCCTAAGGCAGCATGTCTACATGTTACATGTTACATGTTACAGCATGTTACATGTTACAGCATGTCTACAGCATGTTACAAGGCCAAGGTTAAGAGGATATGACCTGTGTTCCCCTCTAGGATTTTGGTGGTTTCCTATCTCAACATTTAGGTCTTTCATCATTTTGAATTTATTCTGGTGTATGGTGTAAGAAAGTGGTTCAGTTTCATTCTTCATGTTGCTGTCCACTTTTCTTTTCCCAACACCATTTGTCAAAGAGACTTTTTTCCGTTGGATATTATTTTCCTGCTTTGTCAAATATCAGTTGGCCATACAGTTATGGGTCCATTTCTGGGTTCTTTGTTCTGTTCCATTGATCTATGTGTCTGTTTTTGTGCCAGTACCATGCTGTCTTGATGACTGCAGCTTTGTAATAGAGCTTAAAATCCAGAATCGTGATACCTCCAGTTTTTTCTTTTTCAAAATTGCTGTGGCTATTTGGGGTCTTTTGTGGTTCCATGCCAATACTAGGATTGTTTGTTCCAGCTCTGTGAAAAATCTGGTGGTATTTTGATAGGGATTGCATTAAATGCATAGATTACTTTGGGTAGTGTGGACATTTAACAATGTTTATTCTTCCAATCCATGAGTATGGAATGTTTTTCCATTGCTTTGTGTCCTCTTCAATTTATTTCATAAGTGAGCTCTACTTTTCAGAGTATAGATCTTTTAACTCCATAGTTAGGTTTACTCCTAGGTATATTGTTTTTGGTGCAGTTGCAAATGGGATCGATTCCTTGATTTCTTTTCCTGCTGCTTCATTATTGGTATATAGTAATGCAACAGATTTCTACACACTGGTTTTATATCCTGCAGCTTTGCTGAATTCGTGTATTGGTTCTAGCAATTTTTTGGTGGTCTTTCAGGTTTTCTGCATATTGTATCATGTTGTCTGCAAATAGTGAGAGTTTGACTTCTTCCTTGCTGTTTTGGAGCCTTTCATTTCTTTTGTTGTGTGATTGCTCAGCCTAGGACTTCCAGTAGTATTTTAAACAGTACAAAGTTTTTACCATTTAAACTTTTAGTCTTGATTCACCAGTGCTTATCCATATTAGGGATTATATATTTTGTTACTGACAGTTATGTTTTTTTCTTCTACTTATCTGTCAGCCAACTTGATTCTGAAATGTAATAGTTGAAACTATTTGCTTGAGTCCTTCATCAGTTCTCTTAAATCCATATTGTAGTAACTAAACAGCTGTAATCTCAATATGAAAATTTTAGGAGTTTTTGAAAAATAAGTAACCATAAAAAAATAACCATAATTCTCTTTATTATATTCATAGTTATTTCCATGTGAAGGGCTTGATCACTTAGGCCTGTTACATCTGTTTTTTTCCTTAACAATATTTTCTCAATTCTTTTGTGAATTAGCAAAACCAATTTTGGGACTGAGACAAACCCAAAGAGTTATTGGAGTCCCCTAATTTTCAATTAATTGGAGTTTCTAGTATACTAGGAATACCTGCAACAGTGACATGATTGCTCTTGTCATTCCTAATGGAAGGTGGAAATAATAACTGTATTCTTGGTAGCCAAGAAGATGGGGTGCGTTTGTATCCTTTCCTCAGGGTGTATTTACTGAGCCTTATTTTTTGTGAGTGTGGTCGCTATTCTCAGGCTTCAAATTACCTTAAAATGTAAGATAAATCCTCTGCTAGAAAACATTTCTTTTTCTCTTTCAGTTGAAGCTGTGAAGTCTGAAGTTGAGCCCTTTAATGACTCTACTCATATTTCTCTGCCAGAAGAAAACCAGTCTTCTGTCACTTGTTGCCTCCCTGACACTTCTACAATTACCGAAGAAGGTTTATTTAGCCAAAAGAGTTTCCTTGTTTTGGGCTTTAGTAATGAAAATGAATCTAATATTGCAAATATCATAAGAGAAAATGCTGGAAAAATCGTGTCCCTTCAGAGCAGAATTGTTGCTGATTACGCTGTGGTTCCTCTGCTGGGGTGTGAAGTAGAAGCAACTGTGGGAGAAGTTGTCACAAATACGTGGCTGGTAAGAAGACCCTGTAGCAGTTGAAATGTAGTGCTGAAGGATATCAGATGCTGAGAGTGTTAATGATTATTTCCTAGACAATTCAGTTTAGGTGAATTGGTGTTTGAGCAAGGTTTAGATTTTGCCTTTACCAAAGGGAATTGTAAGATAGGAAAATGTACAAGCTTCTTGGCCCCAGGCCTGGCAGAGTAGAGCTTATTATTTCCCTGGGGCCACAGCAGCAACATTCCTTCTTAAGAAGTTCCCTAGGTCATCTCCTACTATTTCAGTCCTCCCTGTTTTCTCACAACCAAAGCATGTGTGCACTTTCGGATTATTCTTTTTTATTTTGTTTATTTTATTTTTTGTTCTTTTTATTTCTTATTATATCTTTTTTATTGACTGAACAGTGGTAATTTCATCATTTTTTTACTTTCCAAGAGTTAAGAGGAAAATTTATAAACTAATACTTGGGAAGAAATTAAATTTACAGCAGTATTTAGTAAGTTAAATGATAAACCTGCCTGATCTTAATATCCTGTATAATGAAATGATTTTTTTAATATAATGTGAAATGTATTGAGAATAAGCATATACAAGGTTATACTAAATTTCTTTTCATGTAAACTCAAATTACTGGTAGTGTAAAAACCAGTGTTAACCACTGGCTGCTTATTTCAGGTTGGCATTCTTGTGTTTCTTGTTTCTAAAAGGTAACCTGTATAGACTATCAGACTTTAATTGATCCAAAGTCAAATCCTCTCTTCATGCCAGTCCCAGTGATGGCAGGAATGACTCCTTTAGAGGATTGTGTTATTTCATTCAGCCAGTGTGCAGGAGCAGAAAAAGATTCGTTGACATTCTTAGCAAATCACCTTGGAGCAAGGTATGTAGTATTTTTTGTGCACCTGCTATCATGGTGTATCTTCTATCTGTTTTGACTTATTGGTGAAAATTCAAATTGGAATTGGGCCAGGTGTCTTTATAATATTTATGGGTAGGGTATAGTGTACCTATGTGATGGCTCAGTACTACTAGATGGATACGTGGCAGAGGTTCAGACCATGGGCATTAGTGCTCACCTACCAGCAGAGGGAATGTGTAAAGCTCATACAAGGGCCATTACTGAATATGGCATATCCAAGCTTTATTCCCTTCCATGGGTCCATTTGGGAGATTTATTTTTTTTTCAGTAATGAATACTTGGGAAGGAAAAAAAGATGGACTTGAAAGTTACTTCCAAAATCCAAATTAATCCAACCCCTAAGTTAACCTTAGGTGGTAACTGTTTTTAAAATGAAGTAGAAAATTGTTCTAACAGAAAATGTAAAGGAACTCAACTTTTATATTTTTAAAAAAAGTTCTTTTAGATTAGATCTTGAAGCAACACTTAAAATGACTTTAAAGAGACACACCCAAAACAAATTGATTCAGAACATCTGAAAAAAAAAAAAGAAAAGAAAAAAGAAAAAGCCGGGCAAAGGTATGTCAAAGAAATGCAAACAAAAGGAAAGGAGGGGTTGCAGTTCTAATGTCAGACAAGTTTGGATTCAAATGAAGAGGCATTAAATAAGAAAAAAAAGAGTGCTATAAATTGCTATTCACACTGAAGTTAATATATATATATTACATATAATATATATATATATATATATATATATAACAAAAGAACATGACTTATTCATAAGACAAAAATAATAGCAGATACAAGATGGAATCAGCAGAAATACATTACTTGTAAGACTATAATTCCCATCTTTTACTTCATGAGAGGTCCTATAGAAAACAGGGAAGGATCTAGATTTCATTAGCATAGTCATCTACCCTGAAACACCAAACATACCTTTTCATGTGCCTGTAGAACACTTATAAACATTGCCTATAATGAAACTGGCCACAAAGAAAACCTCAGTAAATTGCCTAAAATAGGAAGAGTGCAGACCATACTCTTTAATCATGATGTAAAGACTAGAAATGAATAGTATAAATAGAAAATGAAAAGACCCTATAAACTGGACATTTTAGAACTATTTCATAACTCTTGGTTCCAAGGGGGATTCAAACCCATTTATAAGCCTAGAAGTCATTTATCAACACAATGGTAATAAGCAATCCCAGTGCCCAGCTTGTGATCCTAAAATACCATTTCCTGCTAAAAGAAACTAAAATGTAAAGAAATGATTAATTCCAGGGGTGCCTGGGTGGTTCAGCCCATTAGGTGTCTGCCTTCATCTCAGGTCATGATCCCAGTGTCGTGGGATTAAGCCCCACAGCTGGTTTCCTGCTCAGTGGAGAGCCTGCTTCTCCATCTACCCACCCCCCATACTTGTGCTCATACTCATGCTCACTTGCTCGCTCACTACCCCTGTCTCTCTCTCTCTCTGCGCTCTCTCTCTCAAAGTCTTTAAATCTCTCTCTCTCTCTCTCTGCACTCTCTCAAAGTCTTTATATATATATATATAGTCTTTATATATATGTATCTATACGTATAATATGTATACATGTATGTACATATACGTATAGATACATATATACATACATACACATATATGTGCGTGTGTGTGTGTGTGTGTGTGTGTGTGTATACATATACATTTATTTATTTATTTATTTTCCAGATCTGGGGCAAAAAGGTGCCAGTGAGTCTGGAACATTTTGTCAGACCACATAGCAAGGACTACTAAGAAAGTTGCATCAAAGGACCTCTGCTGGCCAAAGACAGGACAATTTAAGTACCACTAGACAGAATAATGGCAGTGGATCCAAGCACATCAAATAATGTTTAAATCATAATATTATAATGACACCAGACAAAGCTAATTGGTCATATTTGAAAGATGCTGGGAAACCAGCCTGTTATTTTGAAAGCTGTTAGAGAAAGAGAAAGGATCAAGTATTTATCCTGCCTTTCATATGTAATCTGTATAAGAGTATCATAATAATGGATAAGACAAAGTTTCCCTTTAAGAGGTGTTCCAACAAGTGGCGCCTGGCTGGCTCAGTGGGTTAAAGCCTCTGCCTTCAGCTCAGGTCATGATCCCAGGGTCCTGGGATCGAGCCCCACATCGGGCTCTCTGCGCCACAGGGAGCCTGCTTCCTCCTCTCTCTCTCTCTCTGCCTGCCTTTCTGCCTACTTGTGATCTCTGTCAAATAAATAAATAAAATCTTTAAAAAAAAAAAAAAGAGGTGTTCCAACAAATAAATGAAGAAGGGTGGGGTTATAATTCCTAATGAATGAAAACATCTAGGCCCTGAAAATCAATAATCATATAATAAAGAGGAAAACAGACATCATGTGCCTCCTGATGAAGAACACACAGCCACCTTGAAGTGGCCTTACAAAAATGATAAAACCTCAATCCAATGAAGCCTCTGGATTCAACTACTGATTTATAGGAAGTAGGAGAATAGCATGTTAAACTATAGCACAGAAATGCAATTAGCAAAATTCAGGCCCTGAGATAACTTTATGTTATAAATAATACAGTGTCTTCAACAAGTATCTATTAAGGGGATAGGGAAAGAGGATGGATCCTATAACTAAAAAGACAAAACAAAACTGTAGTGTTTAAGAATGCACTATGTGATAAAACTAAAGAAAGGTAAGGAAGTGATTGCCATAAATATCCAAATAGATTATAATCACCAAGTTTTGTATTTCCTTTTTTGCTGTGTTCTGTATTTGAATTAGGCTAAACAATGAAAAGCTTTTTTTAAAAAAAACTGAAGTTGCAGAAGATCTAGAAAGTAACAACAGCAAAAGTATGACACCAGGTTCCATGGCGTAAACTAAAGCAGTGCTTGGAGAAAAATTCCATAAAGTGGCTATGTAGCAAATTAATATACAGAAATCATTGACCGTCATTTCCTAACAGCCAGTTAGGAAAGTTAATGAAAACTAAGTTTACAATGAGAGATAAAATACCTACCAAAAGGTTTAACATGAAACTTGCAAGAGCTACAGAAGCTTATAAAATGCTATTAAGGAAACAGTAGAAAAGATATCCATGTTCTCAGAAAGAAGATTATAAAGAAGTTTCTGTTGTTTCCTATATTACTATATAAATTTAACATCCCAGTTAAAATGCTGCCCAAATTTTTTAGGGATAGCATTAAGCAAACTAAATTCTTGAATTCATAAGTCAAGTTTAGCAAGCAAAGTCATGAAAATTCTGAAATAGAATAATTATTTAAATATATTTTGTAAAACCTCACTAAGTAATAGTGTGGATTTTTTAAGTTGCAGAAAGTTTAGTGAGTGAACAGAAAGTCTAGAAATAGACCCAAATACAAACAGGAATTTAGGGTATGATAAAAGTGATATTTTTGGGGTGCCCTGGTGGTGGTTAAGTCAGTTAAACATCTGCCTTTGGCTCAGGTCGTGATCTTAGGGTCCTGGAATTGAGCCCCACATCAGGCTACCTGCTCAGTGGGGAGTTGGACTTTCCCTCTCCCCCCTCTCCCTCACTCTGCTTGTGCTCTCTCTCAAATAAATAAAATCTTTATTAAACAAAAAAGTGATATTCCAAGTCATTGAAGAAGAGAGATGGCTTATTCAGTAAATAGGATTCAGTAAAGTTAGAGCCACATCTCATACCAAAATAAGTACCAAATGGATCAGTGAGTTAAATGTGAAAAATGAAACCATGAAAGTGCTAGGAAAAATGTGGGAGATTTAAAGCATCTTAAAAGTGGGGACTAGAGCATAAAACCTAGCAGTTGTTAAAAAAAAATTGCTTAAATGTTAAGTGGTGGACTTCTCTTTCTGCCCCTATGTTCTCTGTGTTTAATATCTGTTATCTTGAGCAAGTCACTTAATTTTATCTTCTTTTTCTTTTTCTTTGCATTTTTTTACGTTAACATATAATGTATTATTAGCTCCAGGGGTACAGGTCTGTGAATTGTCAAGCTTACACAGTTCACAGCACTCACCATAGCACATATCCTCCCCAATGTCCATGACCCAACCACCGTCTCACTTAATTGTATCTTTTCCCAGGTTGTATCTTTACAATATTTTGTAAAAGGAATGCCTAGATGGCTCAGTGGGTTAAGCATCTGCCTTTGGCTCGGGTCTTAATTCCATGGTCCTGGGATTGAGTCCCAGGTCATAATCCCACGGTCCTGGGATCAAGTCCCATATTGGGCTCCCTGCTCAGTGGGGAGCCTGCTTCTCCCTCTGCCTGCTCTGCCTGCCACCCGCCCTTGTACTCACACACATTCTCTCTCTCTCTCTGGCAAATAAAATCTTTCCCAAAAACCCCCAATATTTTGTAATATACTAGTACTTCCCAAATATTCCTAAGAGATTGTGTCTGAAAATGCTTTGCAAAGACATAGTGGACTGGAAAGATACAGTGTGTTATTCATACACTTTCTGTGCTCCCTAGCTATTCCATGCCTCCTTTTGGGAAGAAAGACCCAAAATGGGTAGGTGATTACTAATTAAGGAGGTAATTTTCCTGGTTAGTTCTTGAAAGTCTAGTTTAATTTTCTTAATGTTTTTATAAAAACTTTTACTGTAGCAATACATTTTTACCTTAGAGTAGGCATGTAAGAGGGTTTGAAAATATATCAGCTTTTTATCAGCGAGTATTATACATAGAAGTCTAACAACAGTTGTATTAGAAACTTCTTAGCTTGCTCAGTTGTGTTTATGACCATTTGTTTTTATTTAAATATAATTTTCAGTGTTCAAGAATTCTTTGTTCGCAAATCCAATGCAAAGAAAGGCATGTTTGCCAGTACACATCTTGTATTGAAAGAACCAGGTGGTTCTAAATATGAAGCTGCCAAGAAGTGGAATTTACCAGCAGTCACCATATCTTGGCTGTTGGAGACTGCTAGAATGGGAAAGAGAGCAGATGAAAGCCATTTTCTGATTGAAAAGTCTGCTAAAGAAGGTTAATACTTTTATCTTGTTCTTTTATATGTATTTGTATAATTTGATGGTCTCTGGAATATGAATGTGTTGAATCTTGTTTTTAGAAAAGTTCTTTGATTTCTAGTTTTCACATTGAGTGTTGTGCACTGCTGTTGAGCATTCCTTATTTGGTGGCAAAATAAATGTGTTCATAGCACAGATTTAATTTTTATCTGCTCTCTACTACAGGCAGTGTCTGAAAGCTGGAAGATACAAAACAATCTAGAAGCATTCTGGGGTCTCAGTGTTTGAAGTCCAAATTTGTGGGCTAGGATCCCATTTATTGTTTCTTCTGTGGCTCACATTGACACACCATGTCATTCATGTGCTCTCTCTTCCTCTCATCTTTGGACTTCTGCATCTTTTCTCTGGCCACCTCATGGTTGCCTCTTTGTCCTTATCTTTCAGTCCTCCAAGCTTGGATGTTATTTTCCATTGGAAAGCCTTCCTTAACTCCCAAGTACGGCCTTTGTCTTGCCAAATTTCCCTCCATTATCCCCTTTAAACCTTTGATCTCAGTGTTCTAATATCTAGTTTGCTTTCATGTCTCCCTACTCAGTTACAAGCTCTGAAAGGGCAAAGAATACGTGTGTCTTGTGCATTATATATTTCCATTGTCTAGCATTGGACCTGGCATGGCATAGCCATCTAATAAGCGTTTTTGTTAAATACTGAAAAAAGACTGGTGGGAGGACACAGTATAAGATGATGGCATCCCTGGGCAAACTTCAATAGCTTGGGAACAGCTCTCAGAGCCATTATTGCTTACCCAAACAGACTGGAAATTTTAGAACTGAGGCAAAGTGATATTTAAGTCATATTAAAATTTCACTAAGAACTTTATAAAATCTTCACTGTAGTTGTTAACTCAGAGTACATGTAATTGTTTTTGTTTTTTTCCCTTAACTCTGTCATTCGCCAAGATGACACTTATATAATATTTGGCAAATCGTGAGGTTTATTAAAAAATATTTCAAGTTAACAATAAAATGAAACAGGAAATCTAATTTCATTAATTGTTTCAGTTGATGTTCTGTGTTTATTTCAACATATATTTTAATGTATCATTTTGTTTGTTTCTTGGAAAGTAGGTATATAACTTTGTGATTTAAAATGTACTTGAGAATTTACATGAAAACTAACAATGAGACGTAAAAATAGCACTTCGTTTATTCATCTTCAGAGATAAAGGTGACTTTAGTGGCTCACATTTGTTTCTTCTCATTTTAAATCTCTAGAACAAAGTGTGGAAACTGAAACAACAAACAGGGTGAATCTAAACCCAGGTATTCCAGAGCATCCTGTTGTACACCTGGAAACTCATAGGAAAACAGCTGTCACACCTTTAGATATGAACCGCTTTCAAAGTAAAGCTTTCCATGCTGTGATCTCACAACACACCAGACAGGTTTCGGCCTCCCCACCAGTGGGACAACCACTTCAGAAAGAGCCCTCCTTACATCTGGATACACCATCAAAATTTCTGTCCAAGGACAAACTCTTCAAGCCTTCCTTTGATGTGAAGGTAGGGATTACAGAATATGGTCCTAGAGTTAATTAATAATTTGTAGTATATGAAGTTAATAATTAGTTATAATATAACTTATAACTTATAATAATAAGTTAATTGAAGCTCCAAATTCTGCATCACCTCTAGTTTGTGGTAGTAAGTTCTCCAGAGATACTGGCAGATCATATTATCGAGTCCCTCCATATACTTGAGGTTGAGATAACAGCTGGAGGTAAAATGGTGTGAAATCGGGACTGAGTTCAAGTCCTACATCTTTCATGAGCAGTATGACTCTAGACAGATTATTTAACATATCCAAGCATAGACTTTTTCTTTTGTATAAAGAGGATATAACTTGCTCTGAAAACTCACAGATTTATCTGAAGGATCAAATGAAATGGTGTGATGAAATAATTTTATTAACTATGATATAAACCCATTGCTACTTAAGTTTTGATTCTAGCGGTACACTCAGCGCTTGCTCTCCAAGAACGTGTCTCTTACCACCTTATCTTGCGGTCACTTCCCTTGAAAAGATGGGTTAAGTCTGCGTCTTTATTTGATCTCCTGAGCACTGGAGGATGGCTCCCTTTCTGAGAAATTCATTCCCAGATCAAGACATTATTTGACAATAAATGGTTTCCTCTTATTCCCCCAAAATGATTTTCTTTACTATTCCTTTAGTAGCTGTTGGCCTTTCGAATGGCTATTGAAATCATTGTTTATGATTCTTTTTATCCATGAGTCTTTGCACCGCTATTATACTAGTCATCTATTGGAGTTTTGCTGATAGGGTATTAAGAAGCAAGGTTCTGGGATGCCTGGGTTGCTCACTCTGTTAAGTGTTTGACTCTTGATCTCTGCTCAGGTCTTGATCTCAGGGTCTGGAGTTCAAGCCCAGTATTAGGCTCCACCACTAAAAAAAAAAAATAGCAACATTCTAATAATTTTTACTGATGTATTAAGAAGTAGATTTATAGAATTTACAGATTGTTCATCTTCAGAAAATAAATATAAATTGATACTTTGGATAGTTTCACTAAGCAAAACCTGTGCTCGAAAAAGTAACATGTTGTGCTATGATTAACACTGCTCATTATGCCTTAAGAAATAGAGAAAAATCACTGGTTTGAGACCTGAGATCTAGAATCAGGCTTCTCCTTTGCTTCTTGCTGTCTTTGAAAGAGGTCAACCTCTTTGGGCTCCATCATCTCTATCTATAAAATCATAGGGTATATCTAGATGATCTCTAAGGTCTCTTAGCTCACAAACTTTTTTTTTTATAAACATATTTTTATCCCCAGGGGTACAGGTCTGTGAATCGCCAGGTTTACACACTTCACAGCACTCACCATAGCACATACCCTCCCCAATGTCCATAACCCCACCTCCCCAGCCCCCCTCCCCCCAGCAACCCTCAGTTTGTTTTGTGAGATTAAGAGTCACTTATGGTTTGTCTCCCTCCCAATCCCATCTTGTTTCATTAAATCTTCTCCTACCCCCTTAACCCCCCATGTTGCATCTCCACTCCCTCATATTAGGGAGATCATATGGTAGTTGTCTTTCTCCAATTGACTCATTTCGCTAAGCATGATACCCTCTAGTTCCATCCACGTTGTCGCAAATGGCAAGATTTCATTTCTTTTGATGGCTGCATAGTATTCCATTGTGTATATATACCACATCTTCTTTATCCATTCATCTGTTGATGGACATCTAGGTTCTTTCCATAGTTTGGCTATTGTAGACATTGCTGCTATAAACATTCGGGTGCACGTGCCCCTTCGGATCACTACGTTTGGTTCTTTAGGGTAAATACCCAGTAGTGCAATTGCTGGGTCATAGGGTAGCTCTATTTTCAACATTTTGAGGAACCTCCATGCTGTTTTCCAGAGTGGTTGCACCAGCTTGCATTCCCACCAACAGTGTAGGAGGGTTCCCCTTTCTCCGCATCCTCGCCAGCATCTGTCATTTCCTGACTTGTTAATTTTAGCCATTCTGACTGGTGTGAGGTGGTATCTCATTGTGGTTTTGATTTGTATTTCCCTGATGCCAAGTGATATGGAGCACTTTTTCATGTGTCTGTTGGCCATCTGGATGTCTTCTTTGCAGAAATGTCTGTTCATGTCTTCTGCCCATTTCTTGATTGGATTATTTGTTCTTTGGGTGTTGAGTTTGCTAAGTTCTTTATAGATTCTGGACACTAGCCCTTTATCTGATATGTCGTTTGCAAATATCTTCTCCCATTCTGTCAGTTGTCTTTTGGTTTTAACTGTTTCCTTTGCTGTGCAAAAGCTTTTGATCTTGATGAAATCCCAATAGTTCATTTTTGCCCTTCCTTCCCTTGCCTTTGGCGATATTCCTAGGAAGATGTTGCTGCGGCTGAGGTCGAAGAGGTTGCTGCCTGTGTTCTCAAGGATTTTGATGGATTCCTTTCTCACATTGAGGTCCTTCATCCATTTTGAGTCTATTTTCGTGTGTGGTGTAAGGAAATGATCCAATTTCATTTTTCTGCATGTGGATATCCAATTTTCCCAACACCATTTATTGAAGAGGCTGTCTTTTTTCCATTGGACATTCTTTC